AACATCGTATTTTCCCCGAAGTCTGCGCAATCAGAATTTGTTGAAATTTTGCAGTTGCTTTTTACAGACTGTGCAGGTCTCCGCTCCGGAAAGGAGAACTTTCAGAAAACGGACACCGCAAAACATCAGCCCGGTGTTAAGATTTTAAATAAAATTAAATTAAAGGTTATAGCCTGATAGATATCTTGATGGCTTCAAAGATCTGGGCTGCGATTCTGTCACAGATTTTGGTACTTATTGAGGTGGTGCTTCTTAATTAGGAGAACTAGTACCTAGCTGTCAGGGGATTATGGATTTGGCAGCTGGCATCGTAAAGTTACCCGTCCATTACTATGAAACTTTCAGGACACCCGAGTTTTATTATTTCTTGGAGTCCCTTTGGAAATCGGGGAAGGTTTTGTCGTGGCTGGTCCTCATTTCAAAACCTTTCTCATGTAGGTAGCGAATAAAAATTCTGCCAGATGTTGAGCAGTGTTTGCTGAATTCCCACTGAATCCCTGGAAGACTGCCTTGTTGCGCTTGCCAGTTAAAGCGGGTAGTTTAAAAGGCGGGCACCTGGCGCCATTCCACTGAGCTCTGCAGCATTACCCCGGCTGTGCACCACAAAGTGGCTGAGAGATCAAGATCAGTGTTTTTTCCTACATAAGACAGTCCGTTCACACTTTCAGCACAGGCTAAAGGGGACAGTTTAGAGCGCGCCTAAAATGTTAGGCCTGGCGGTAAGATGTGGTTTGGTAGCTCCACCTGATGGACACAATGCTATTGCGGTTGAGGTTACGGGTTAGGGCTAGGGGTCATAGTTAGGGGTTAGCGCAACTATTTTTCAACCATTCAAAGTACAACCAAGCATTCTCAACAGCTTTTCTGCTGCATACAACTACTTGACCTCGTCGCCTGTTCGTTCCCCGGTCCCACCTGTAAAAACCCCTATTACCACCGGTCCCGTATTAGAGGTAACTGAGGTTTGTTTGCTTCAGGTGGGGCTACATAACCACATCTGATCGATTGTTCTTTCAAAGTCTCTAAAAGGCCAACTTTCAAGGCCTAAAATGCGAGAATGTGGAGAAAAACAAGGTCAGGATTCAACAGACATTTCATCCATCGGCCTAATCAAACTGCAGGACAGAGGACGAGTTAGCTCAGTCTTTTCTTTCCGACAACAACCGCATATCAAGCTGGACTGGTAAACGTACTCCGAGCATTTTTTGGCACTTGAAATCGCGGATAACAGAAAGTCTACTTGTTAAGCTAGTGGTGGAATGCCTAAGTCCTACTTTTAATGGCCAAGTCAACTAGGCTTAAATAGCAAATTTTGGACCTATAGCCAGGGTATAGTAGGCTACTGCGGGAGACAAGCCAGAATACTATGTTTTAGTCATGGTAGTCATTTCGGATAACTCTTCTAATCAAAAATTCCGAAAGACTGCACATCCGGAACTGGTAGCTGTTATTTCGACTAGGCTTGTGATCGAAATAATTCCCCTTTTGTGAAGTTTTTTATATGTCTGCGTACAAAATTTCAGTGTCATACGGGGATGGACGTTACATAGCGTGCATTTTTCCTGGCAGAATTGCATAGTTAGCACTTGCATAACTTACTAAAAGAAAAGAGTTTGCCGATGGATTCGAGACATTTTCT